AATTTTCGTGTGTGTAATTTGGGTGCAATCTGTCTAAAACACACCTTAACTTTCTGCCCATTAACAACTCGGCAGGACTGCACCCCGTGGCAGTGCACGGTGTGGCATGTTGTACCGCCAGAAACTGATCTATTCTAGCCTGCCAATCTCCTGCATCTAATCTGGACAACGCTTCTTTGGCCGTTCTCACAAAACATTCCGCAAGGCCATTCGAAGCCGGATGGAACGGAGCCGAGCGGGCATGACGAATGCCCAATTCAGCCAGATAGCCCTCAAATTGGGTTGCGATAAATTGGGGCCCATTATCGGATACGAGAGTATCCGGCAACCCATGGGTTGCAAAAAGTCTCCGAAGAGTCTTAATGACTGCTTCGGCTGTGGTCGAGGGCATCAGGATGATTTCTAACCATTTTGAGAAGGCATCAACCACAATTAAAAATGTTTGCCCATGGAACGGCCCGGCAAAATCAATGTGGATCCTCCCCCATGGCCCTTTTGGTTTCTCCCATTCCCTGACGGGGGCTATTGGAGGATCGGGACGGGACTCCTGGCAAGGGCTGCACTTTCTGACCCACTCAGTGACATTCCTATCCATTTGCTGCCACCAGACATAGCTCCTTGCTAAACTTTTCATGTGAACGATCCCTGGGTGTAGCATTTCTAACACCCTTGTTCGCAGTCGTGACGGAATGACCCATAGGTAGAGAGTCAATCATCAGGACAGGGACCTCAGGTGTAGGATTGTCCAATAGTTCGGGCAGGGGGCAGCGGCTGAGGGTGTCTGCATGGCCCAATGTCCGACCCGGCCGATGCACCAACCAGTAAGAGTACGCTGACAAAAAAATTGCCCACCTAGTCATTCGTGGGGAGAGGGCAGTAGGAGTAGGTTTATCCCCCACCAATAGTCCCAGCAGCGGCTGGTGATCAGTCACAAGTTCAAATTCTCGGCCGAAAAGGTACTCATGGAACTTCTTAACTCCCGCTATTGCTTCCCTGTCCAGCTGACTGTAATTGCGTTCCGCGCTGGACAGGGTGCGAGAGTAATAGGCAATTGGCGCCTCTAGGCCTTTAGGCAGTCTATGGCTAAGGACGGCCCCGATGCCAAAGGGGGAAGCGTCACAAACAAGAACTAGCGGTAGCTCTGTGTTGTATTGGATAAGGAAACTTTCCTCTGACAAGAGTCTTTTAACGGCTGTGAATGCTGCTGATTCAGCCTTGCCCCACACCCAAGGGACATTTTTGCTTAGTAGCTTGTGCAGGGGCTCTGCGACGGTGGCTTTGTCTTTGAGAAACATGGTATAAAAGTTCAGGAGCCCCAGGAATGCTTGAAGCTCGGTTTTCGATTTAGGGATGGGAGCATTTCTGATTGCCTTTACTTTACTCTCTGTGGGGTGGATGCCTGTACCGTCGACCCTGTACCCCAAGAATTCGACAGAGGGGACTGCGATCATACACTTATTTCTTTTAAGTTTCAGTCCCGCTTCCCTAAATCTTTGCAGCACTTTCCTAACTCTATCCCCTAGTTGCTCCGTGTTTTGGGCACTTATTAGTACGTCATCAAAGTACAGCACCACTCCCGGAAGTCCTTGTAACAGGCGCTCCATTGTACTTTGAAATAGGCCCGGCGCGACGCTTACTCCAAATTGCAACCTGGTGCATTTGAATGCCCCTCTGTGGGTCACTATTGTTTGCGCCTCTGCTGTGGCATCATCAACTGGCAGCTGCTGATACGCTTGTGCCAGGTCTAGTTTGGCAAAAATTTGTCCAGGCCCCAGGGAGTGTAGTAGATGATGCACGATCGGAACCAGATAGGCGCTCTGCTGCAAAGCCTTGTTTATCGTGCATTTGTAGTCGGCGCAAATTCTAATTGAGCCGTCGGCCTTTATAGGGGTCACTATCGGGGTCTCCCATTTGGTGTGGTCAACGGGAACCAACACCCCTTGCCTTATCAACTTGTCTAGTTCCGCATCGATTTTCGGTTTCAATGCGAAAGGCACCCGCCTAGCCTTCAGTCTTACTTGGGCCACGTTGGGGTCTAAGTTAAAGGAGATTGGGGTCCCCACATACTTGCCCAAAGCCTCATCGAAGACATCCCGGAATTCGTGTAGGATGTCGTCTTTCAATGACGGCTGGCTCAGGCTGTGGACACCGGTGAAGCCCATGCCGAGGGCTCGGAACCACCCCATGCCCAAGAGGCTGGGAAGCTGCTTGCTAACGATGGTTAGTGGCAGTTCCTTCTTAAACTCACCGTATGTGACTTGTACTGTGGCGATGCCTTCAACTGGAATCCGATTTTCCTGGTAGTCGAGGAAGCGCGACTTCTGTTTTGTTAGTTGGCCCTTCCGGAACGCTGGCAAGACGGTTTTCAGGGTCGCCCATGACATTATAGATAGTGCAGATCCGGTGTCGATTTCCATCTCGCATTGATGACCGTTGATCTCGACCTTGGTGTAGACCTTGTCATCATTGGTTTTGCTGGCCCGGTCGACGGTTGTACTGTAGGCGTTTCGTTTTTGAATTTCGCACCAATTTTTCGCGCCGCCATCTTTGACTGGCTGTTTTGAATGAGTCGCTTCGGGTTGGCTATGGCGGTCACGTGGCCAGAATTGTCTGTGAATGATGGCCCTGCAGACTCTCACCAAATGTCCCTTCTTTTCACAGCGCCTGCAAATGGCGTCTCAGTACTTGCAGGTCTGTCTCTCGTGTTTTCCGCCACAGCTAGAACAACTTTTCTGATGACTGCTTACTTCCGTCTTTTTGTGCTCGGTGTGGCAGATGTCCTCGTCGGACTCTCCTTCCGAGCTGGATCTGACGTCCTCTCGATGCACTGGTGCAGTTTTAGGAGCATCTTTGCTTGCCAATGGTCGCTGCAAGGCTTCGGCGGCTTTTGTAGAGGCTTCATGAGCCCTGGCCTCGTCTAGGGCTCCAACCAGTGTTAAATCGGGTTTAGCGAGCAGTCACCTTTGCAGTCTTGTATCCCGAACGCCGCATATTAGCTGCTCGAGCAGCGCATCATCTAAGTCTCTATAGTCACAATGCGTTGCGGTTTTACGAAGGCTCGCCATGTACGCGCTGACCGGTTCTCCCTCTTTCTGCACATGTTGTTTGAATTCGTAGCACTGCACAAACTTGGAGGGAACCGGAGAGGCACAAGCAAGCAAGTGACAACAGCTCTTTAATATAGAGTGAGACTTCAGCGAAAACTTTCTGGCAGCAGCCCTCCTTATATACACTCTAGGAATGACTGTCAGCCAATCAGCAACACTTAAATATTTGAAACTCCCGCTTAAATGTATCAATACATAACAGTTGAGAGACGGCTTTTGCTCGTGTGTCTGCCTATGTGAGGTGGGGGGACAGAACAGTGTTCTTAGATATCACTAGATGACAAAATTAAGAGTCTAGGTCTCTTCTCTTTGTTTGCTTTCTGAATGGATAAGTCTGTTCAATAGCTTATAGCTTCCAGTTCCAGTAAAATTGGCTCTCTGGGAAACGTCAGTTCATTGCAACTGGGAAAACGGAATTACCAGCTTTGTAGTAATCCAGAATATTAAATTCTGACTTGAAGATGGTTTGAAACTAATCTTGGTTTTGATAGATTATCTTGCTTCCTAGTGTAGACAAAATGGGAAATTAAGCTAAAGTTTTCCTGCCTTATCTAAGATGGTTGTAAACGGATTGCATAATGTAAAAGTATTTAAACATTAAACTGAAAATGTTTCAGTATTTCACTATATGCACTATTGATAGCATATCCCAATATGATTTCCAGGCCCATATCCATTGGCATTTCAAAGTGTTTTTCAATACATTTCTTTTTTTGTACCAATGAATATATAAGGAAAAAAAATGATAATAAACCAAATCATTTTTGCTTGGGTTCCCCAGCAAGGCAACTGTCCATGCTGATTCCTGTTTGAGAAATTAGCTAAACCTTTCCCAAGACAAAGTTGCACATCTTACAAGCAATATCCTGGATTATTCAGCCAAGATTCATTGTGACATGAAAATTTAAAAACAACAACAACAGAAGAACTTTCAAAATCCTATTATTTCTATATCTATACACAACCAGCACCAGGAAGCTAAAGTAAAGGGTGGTGACTATATATATAAAATAAAAAGTGGGACGGAATTCTCTTGTTTCCATTCCAGATCTGGTAACAGATTGCTGTTCCCCTTGGACAAAATACAGTGAGGTAGGATCTCTTTTCCATCCATCTTTCAATTGTATAGGTAACCATGTTTATGTGTGTGTTTTTGTGTGTGTAATGTTGCGGTGAGATGAAGTAAGTGAGAAAATACATAGCATGATTGATTGACTGGCTTGACTTGACTTGAATGTTACTTGAGTGTAAATTGCTCCCATGGGGGGGAAATGATGAATTATGGAGCACTCAGCAATAGGCAATGTGATTCTTCCTAGAATTCACATTATAGTAAGACAAAAATTACATACCGGTATTTAATTTCACAGGAGTTCTACAATGAGCAAGATCAATTATTTCATTTTTATTTATTTATTTATTTATTTAAACCCCCTTTTTAAAATTCTGGAAGAATACTCTGGAAGAATACTGGAAGCATCAACAATTTAGTACTAAATTTTACTACTGAAATTTGCAAGAAAGCATGTATCTTTTTAATGTTGAAAAGGGTTTAAACAAGTGGGAGCTTGCTAGTTCAAACCTAATGACAAATTGTGATTGTAGACAACAGTGCTGAATGCTTCAGATGTAAACTGTGTTTAGAGCTGACTCTTCAAATTTCTCCTTTGTATTAATGACCCCAAATACAGGAACCATGGTGCGTAACTTAAAGATTCATCCCTGTAACCTTATTTTACATTTACAACTTAGTGTGACAACAGATGAACGTAATTCTCAATTGGCTGAGGTCACTCACTGTGCTAAGCCATACAAAAATCCTTTGAAATCACAGTTGCTGTATTCATGCAGTGAGAGAACAGCATTACTGGTTAATTACTGGTAGTTGTTTTTCTTTTCCTATTCAATCATTCCACCAAGATATAATATATAAAGTACTAAATAAAGCTATAGAAACCATTACAATGATTTCAAAATTTTCTAGGTACTCATTCCACCATGGACAGTCTTGCTGAAGCAAACACCAACTTCACTGTGGATCTCTTTAAAAAGATGGAAGAAGAACAATCCAACAACATCTTTTTCTCTCCACTTAGTATTTCAGCAGCTTTAGCTATGGTCTATTATGGTGCCAAAGGTAACACTGCTGCTGAAATGAGAAAGGTAGGAATCTTCACGATAATCAGGAAGCATTTTCTACTTGTGACTTTCCTTTTGAGAACCTGTCCGTTCTCCATTCAGAGAAGATTGAGAGTTAGCAATAAGGAAATCAAGGAGTACTTAAAGTGAAGGCAAATCCAGAACTCATAACTGTAATTGATAAGCTAAACTAAAGTGACATTTCTAAAAAAAAAAAAAGTCAGAAAAATAAGTCATAATTTTTATTTTGTTTATTTTATTTTAATTTTCTCAGATCACTTAGACTAGACTCCCCTCCCCAACCTCTAAAGGCTGTTGCTATTGCTGATAAATCAGATTAATTGGGGTGCTAGAGTTGTGACTCAAACATTTGGACAATAACATGTGAAAGAATGCTGGTCTATGGGGTATCTATTAGAATCACTTTTAAAGATGGTCCCTTCCATGTTCCTCAGTGGCCCTAGTGAAAAAGGATGCAATTGTTCTACCAGCTTCCAAGGAAACTGAATCATGACAGAACGAAATGTTGACATAGTTCACAACTCCAATCTCTTTTGTATTGCAGGTCCTTCATTTTGATAAAATCACAGAATCCAGGATGTCTGCAAACTTGCCTGTAAGAGAATTTTTATTAAATTTCATTTTATTGCTAATTCTACACACATATACACCCACATATGTAGGGGTGTGTGTATGTGTGTCAGCATTTGGTGTAAATGCTTTGGAATTGTGGGCAAAATATGTGCCTATGAAAGTAATGGCCTGTCCTTTGGTCCTTGAAGGCTCAATGTGACAAACCTGGTGGACCTCACAACCAGTTCAAGGAACTCCTATCAGCCATTAACCAACCTTCTAAAAACTATACATTGAGCATAGCCAATAGGTTGTATGGATCGGACGTTTATGAATTTCTCCAGGTGAGCAAGAAACTTCCCATCTTTTTCACTCTCAGCAAAACTCTGGCCTTTTGAGGGTGCAAGTAAAATGTATTTCTCCATCCTTAGAAGTAAGTGTAGATAGCCAAATTAGATGGGTGGAGTATGAGGACAAAATCTTGTTCTCCCTTCCTTTCTCATGAACATTTTCATGTTTACATTATTAAATAGTTAAAATAGTAGGTGGTCAAAAGAGGGATCACATAAGCAATGATGTTTTCTTTGAGCTGCATGCAACTGACAGCAATGCAGTTTTGTAAACAACAACGCAGTTTCTCAGCGTTTATTTTCAACTTCCCAGCATGCCCTACCAATCCTAATTAATTTTTTGGGATCAGTCAGAGTTGGTTAGGGTCCAATCTGGCAAATAACCAGTACCAACTACAATTGCTGACTGAGTGTATATGATGATAATAAGAGAATTAATATACTGATACATTTTCTTTCATCCTGTGTAGCAATACATAAGGTGCATTAAAGAGCTTTATCATGCAGAATTGGAAAGAGTTGACTTTATGAATGCCCTTGAGGAAGTTAGAAAGAAAATTAATTCCTGGGTTGAAAGCCAAACAAATGGTAAGAAAACATAGGTTAATCTTCATTTTCTTTGCCATTAATCAGTTAGGAAGGCTCATTGGATTTCCCATAGTGAATGGCAGAAAAGCAGAATATTTAGCTCTATGTGTCTCCTTGAATATTACATCATGAAGATTGCATGTGATCACATAGTTCAGGGGTGTCAAACTCAAGGCCCATCAGCCGGATCCGGCCCATGGGGTGCTTAAATCTGACCCATGGGGCTGTCCTGGAAATATCAACTGACCGGCCCGCAGTGCCTCTGCCAGCCAAAAGGCCTGTTTCAGCCTCCACAGCCTCTTGCAGCATTCTACTGGCCAAAAATGGGCTGCACAGAGGCCCCATGCCCCCCCCCCCATTTTTTGCCTCTCTGACCTCCAGCAGCACTCTGCTGGCTAAAAACCGGCCATGCAGCGGGTTTGCGTGGCTCCGTTTTTGGCCGGCAGAGTGCTGCAGGAGGACTGAACTGGATTACAATTATGTGGTCTCAAGTAAGTGCCTGATATGGATAGAAAACAAGCAACATCCTATGTTAATACTACAGTTTAACGCCAGATTTTATATACTGTGTGCTCTGTCGGGAGACAGAGGGGCATTAATTAAGGTGACATGGATGATTTGTAACAAGCTCTTTTTAATGGCAACAGCCCAGCTAATACAACTCCAGAATATCGGCAAAAATAACTGCGTCTGACAGCTCTTATATAGCGGCTGTCAGACGTCATTAACCAATAAGGAGGCACGGAACTCCTGCGTTCGAAATAACTGCTTCTCAACCAATCAGGGAAAGGCATCTCTGTTGTTAGGGTAGCGTGCTGAACTCAACACTGTAGGTCCATTTAATCTACAATCAACAATGTATTATCGACAGCCATTTCTATTTACTATCCTGGAAATTGACCTTTGCTGTTAGATCTTGTATTATCATGTTATTTATGTTATTGTATTTTTATTATCAGTTGAATAATAAAAATATAATAGTATAAATAGCTTTTCTGCCTGGGAAAACAATTTACTATTAAACAATGGGGTATATATTTAGAAATTTAAAGTTTAATGGAGTATGAAGAATAAGTAATAAATATTTGCCAGGAATATCTGGTAGAAAAGATAGGAAAATGGTTATAGTAAAGAACTGTGGAAAGAAATATGGGGAAAAAATGGATCTTGAGCCTGTGTCAAATGCTCACCCTGGCCATGCCCACCTCAGGTCACAGCCACCATGACCACTTCCATCCCCCCGCGCATGCACACACACACACACACACACCAGCCATCCAAGGTCAAACACAACCCTGATGCGGCTCTCAATGAAATCGAGTTTGGCACCTCTGACATAGTTGCTCCATGCCTCTTCAATATGCAAATTTCTGAAGGTCAAAATGTCATTTATGAATTCATGCGTGGTCCTTATTTTATAAAAAGATATTTTAGCCAGGACTCCCCAACATGTTCATTTGCACAGCCAAGCATACTCAATTAATATTCGTGATGTAATGCAGAAAAAACAAAGAATCTGATTCTCTAGGGAAGCTCAAGACCTGGAGTTTTTATTGATCTGCCGTGTATCCAAAGTTGTATTTCTCTACTTGCACAAGATCAGAATTGTCACTGATCCTATAACTTTAGGATGAAGGTTTTGTATCCATCAAATCTTTAAAATGTTTGAAGGTAGAAAAGATTTCAGCTTGTTTTAATCTTTAATTCATTCTTTGATTGCTTAAATGTGCTTGGATTACATTGGTATTTTAATTTTTTTTCAGTATTCTTACTGAGAAAAATGTGTTGTAGAAAGACATGTATTATTGATAAATGTTTGTCCCCTACCAATAACATTTTTAATGTTATTACTTTTTTAAAAGGTAAAATCAAGGACCTGCTTCCTGTTGACTCGCTTGATCAAAGTACTGTATTAATCTTGGTAAATGCTATATATTTCAAAGGAAAGTGGATGAGGCAATTTAATCCCAAGGATACACACGAAGCAGACTTTTGGACCAGTAAGGTATACTGAAAAACCTATGAGAATGGAAATGTATTAATTGCTGCACAATTGAATTAAACAACTAAAACTAACCATTTTGCTCAGCATCATAGAAACATAAGATCCTTGTTTATACAATAAGTTTTGTCCTGCACCAACAGGGTCTGAAGTGGAAATCTGATATAATAGCTGGCAATTGCAATTGCAATTGCAATCAATATTTCATGTTATGATTTCTCATATTATTATTGCTTTATGTTAAGCATTATTTATTTGTTATAGGAGCACAGTAAAAAAGTGCAAATGATGGCTCAAAAGGACAAATGTAACTATGCTAAAATAACAAACCCACCGATGGAAGTGCTTGAGCTTCAGTATGATAAGGGAGACCTAAGCATGATCATCCTTCTACCGGACAAGAATGGGACCACAAAAGAGGTAATTTGAGTTCTGAAATCATTCAGAAAGAGATTCAAATGAACTTGACATGTATCTTTTGAATAATTTATTGCTAAGAAAGGCCTCTGATTACATATTCTTAAGAGGTTCCCAAATGTTAATTATGATTTTTCCCTATTTTTTTCATTCATTTCTTATTTTTACACACAAATATATATATTAGGGGTGAAATACAGCAGGTTCTGACAGGTTCTGGAGAACTGGTAGCGGAAATTTTGATTAGTTCAGAGAACCGGCAAATACCACCTCTGGTTGGCCCCAGAGTGGGGTGGGAATGGAGATTTTGCAATATCCTTCCCCCAGGAGTGGGGAGGGAATGGGGATTTTGCAGTATCCTTCCCTGGAGTGGGGTGAGAATGGAGATTTTGCAGTATTCTTCCCCTGCCATGCCCACCAAGTCATGCCCAGCAAGCCACACCAGGCCCACCAAGCCATGCCCACAGAACCGGTAGTAATAAAATTTGGATTTCACCACTGATATATACATACATACATACAGAGAGAGAGAGAGAGAGAACGTCCTACTCGGGTGAATGTGACCATTGAACCCAGGTCTCTCCAGTTCCAGTCCACTATTCTTCCACTGCTTTTCCATATCAGGCAGGCCTAGCCATTAATACTGGCACAATTTTGGAGCTAGGGAGAAGAAACAGGATTATTATGACCGATTTTCATCCCTTGATAATTTTCTGAGGATAGACTTGGATATTGAAGAAAGTTTTGCAAGTATTTAGCCCAGGGTTTAAAAATTCAGTTGTTTACTAGCTATGTTTCCTTATCATGCAACAGCCCTTTATCGTCTTCTTCCTGTCCCTTCCTTCTGCCTCCGAATGAGGATTTTTGGAATATTTCCTTCTGCCTTTGACTAGCTAGAGTTTGTCGTCCAAGCCTGGACCTAGAGTTAATCCTATTACATTTGGCTTAAAGAAAGCTCTCCAGGAACTGTGCTCAGAGATGATTTTCCTGAATTCCAACAGCGTTAATATTCAGAACTCTTTGCCTGTCCAGATACCATCCAAACCATTTCCAAGCAAAAGTCAAAGCATACATTATCGAACTTCAGTTTTTGACCCAGGCAGAAGGCTGTTCCCTTATGGCTTCCGACACTTCATGTTTTCTTCTAGCCTTTCTCTACCAGAAATATGAAAAATAATAATACACAAAACAGTCCATATTTTGACTTCTGTTTAAGAAATTTGTTTTTTAAAAAACTCTGAGACAGCTTCCCAACAGATGTAAGCAATTCTTGGCTCCCAAACGTCAATGAGAAAGAAGTCAATTAGGACAGGGATCCTTCAGTTTTGGAGTTTGGCTTGCTCCTATAGATGTTCATCCATGGTTTTGAAGGCAGATTTTCCATCCCCAGGCAATACAATAAGGATTCGAGAAGAGAGATATTTGTTTTAGCTTTGGCATGTGCTGTTAAGTGTCCCGATGCTCCCTTCTTTAAAACTATCCTGTAAATTATTTTTTTAAAGAAAGTAATATTTTTGCAGATATTTTTGCAGTTTACTTATTATGAAGGAATAATGCTATAATGGGAAGTAGCAGGAAGTCATACTTTACTCTTTTTTGATCCCATTTTTCCAAATAATGTTTTCATTCATGTACACCTTCACAATGGCTCCCCTTTACCTGACAGATTGTGAGGCAACTCACTTATGAAAAATTTCAAGAGTGGACCAGTTCAACAAGCATGCAGAACACAGAGATCTGGATTTTTCTGCCAAAATTCAAGGTGGAAGAAAAATATTTGCTCAGTCCTATTTTAAGTAAGATGGGAATGAAGGATATGTTTAATTCACACAAAGCTGATTTATCTGGCATATCTGGACGTCGGGACCTGCTTGTATCTCAGGTTCTTCATAAAGCCTATATTGAAGTGAATGAAGAAGGTACCGAAGCAGCTGCTGCTACTGGTGTAGTTGTAGTTCCTGTAAGTGCTCAAATTATTCCCGAGTTTAAGGCAGATCACCCTTTTTTGTTATTTATAAGACATAATGCCACCAGGAGCATTCTTTTTGCTGGCAAAGTTTTCTCACCGTAAATACCAAGTGCTGCTACATTAAAAATATATATTTCCATCTGTTGTAAGCAACCAAGACTTCTGCATTCCAAATTCCATTCTCAACTTGGCTAACAATTTATTTCCTCTCTTAAGAAAGAGGAAATTGCGAGGTACAGTTTTTATTTGCTTACTGAGCTAAATCCACTTTACATTGATATGTGTGTGGAATCCAAAGTATACAAATCTGTATGTTCCTTGTGACCCAGGGCCCTTAACTATAGAGAGCCTGACATACAGGAAGCAAAGGAAATGGGGAGTGGGGGTTTAGTGACTCCCACAAATTAAGCCTCAAGCAACACACACACACACACACACACACACACACACACACACATATAGGGATGCAGTATGCTCCCTCCCACATGCTAGGGTAGACCAGTATAAAAAACACTTTATACACACACTCACACACACACACACACACACACACACACACACTAGACCTGTGCTGGAAGAAATGTGAGATATACATTCTGTTAAATAAAAACAGAAGAAACCAATGATTTCAATTGAAGAGTGCAGTAAAACCTACTACTAACCTTGTTGTTGTTTCTGAATGTATAAGCTTCAGTGGATGGCTTGCTTAAGGTACTTTCTGATTATGAAATTTAAACTTGAGTACATAGTAAACTGCTTTGTCTTCCATTATATAATTAAAAATCAATAGAGAGATGTTTTGGCTTGCCTGTCACTTAGGATGACTACTGATGTTTCAAGTTAGTTTTATTCTGATTCTGTCCACTGTCTTGTGATCTCTTGAGTATAAAACTACAATAATATCTGAATAAACATATACAGTACATCAAATAGTCTCAGATTTATTTGTTATTCATATTTATTTCTGCACTTTCAAAACTCTTGTAAAGAAACAACCCTCGCCTCCCAATCTAGCTCTTGCCTATTTGGCATCTCACCCTCCCACTTCCCATTAGACTTGCTCCAAATATTCAATGTAGGTTCCAACATTCACAATCTGACCAGAACAGTAGCAGACAGAGGACAATGAACCAAAGAACTTCCAGATGCTGCCGAATCACAATTCCTGCACAATTGACTGCAGTTGGGATTGGGATTTCAATGCTGCGCGAGCTGCACTGGCTCCCGGTGGTCTTCCGGGTGCGCTTCAAGATGTTGGTTATCACCTTTAAAGCGCTCCATGGCATAGGGCCTAGCTATCTTCGAGACCGCCTGCTGCTACTGACGACCTGCCATCGACCCGTGCGCTCCCACAGAGAGGGCCTCCTCAGGGTGCCATCAGCCAAACAATGTAGGCTGGTGATCCCCAGGGGGAGAGCCTTCTCTGTGGGGGCACCTACCCTCTGGAATCAGTTGCCCCCAGAGATAAGGAGAATCCAAGACCTCAGTGCCTTCCGCCATGCCCTTAAAAACCCACTTTAAAGCCCACTTCTTCCAGCAAGCCGGGCTGGCTTAAGAAGAAATTTTTAAATGTTTTAATTGGTTTGTGATTTTTAATTTTCGGGCCAAATTTATATATATTTTAATTGTTTTTTAATATTTGTATTTCATGCTCTTAATTCTGGCTGTACACCATCCTGAGTCCTCAGGGAGAAGGGCGGTATATAAATTGGAAATAAATAAATAAATAAATAAATAAATAAATAAATAAATAAATAAATAAATAAATAAATAGAGCCTTGGTACTACAGTGGTTTAAAGCACCCTGTTATTAACACAGCTGCCTGCAATTTACTGCTGGTTCGAATCTCTCCAAGGCTCAAGGTTGACTCAGCCTTCCATCCTTTCTAAGGTAGGTTAAATGAGGACCCAGTTTGTGGGGGCAATAAGCTGACTTTGTATAAATATACAAAAGTATGAAGGCTATTGCTTAACGCACTGTAAGCCGCCCTGAGTCTCCGGAGAAGGGCGGCATATAAATCAAAATTAAAAATAAATAAATAAATAAATAAATAAATAAATGCAGTTGAAAAGCATGACGTTACGTGACCATATGACTTGGTGACCACAATTCTGGAATGTATGGTTGCTGTTGTAAGATGGATAGGTCATTTAATGGAAAGCAGAGGGAGTCCCGCATAAGGAGCATGGGGTTCCCGTAGCAGGTGGAGGAGGCCCAGCACAGACCAGGTGTGAGTTTTGGGAATGCTGCAGGGAGATCAGGGAAAGAATACTTTGTGACTCAGGCTTCTTGGTACACCACAGCTCTGGGACTATTCTTACTTACCCTGGACACGAAAGAAAAGAAGCCTGTGCGAATGAGCACATTCACAAAATGAATAGTGACATTCTCCCTGGGTTACCCCTTAGTTGTCTGAAAATGAAGCTTAGAATTTAGAAGCCAGGACTTGTACAGAACTTTAGACAGTTTGATATGCTTGAAAAATGTCTCTCTGGCTTTGAGAAAGGAAAGTCAGTGCCACTTAATGTCTGAAGCAAAGTCTCAGCCCTCTCGCTCAAAAAGTATACACCATCAGAGTCAGATGTACTAAACTGAGGTAATTGAATAAAGAGAAGTTTAGATGATCTGGCGGTATAGAAGCTTTTCATTTACAAAAAAAAACCATAGTAAATATACCAACAATTCCACGAAGGACTATCTCTTCCTATAATTAGATATCAGTTGAAACTGTAGAAGTATAGCATGGTGCAGCATGGGCAGGAAATGGGTGTTGTGGTCAATTATATCACTCTTGTAACATCTTTATTGGCTCAGCATTAATTTCCTTCCTCAATTCTAAATGTTCCTATAGAACCATAAGAGTTACTACTCTCCCATAACCTTAATGCCTCTTTCACTCATACGTTCCTCCAGATACAACCTTGGCCAATGAAACCTTAGCCAGTACAGCCCCTGCCCAAAACACCAGAAGCTCTAGTTAAGCAACACCTGAAGAATTGTTTGATTATATTCCATTGATCTATTGCAGTTATTGAAAACTACATTGAGGGCTGAGGGCAGGACTGGGTAGATTGGTGATGCGGCTAACAGGATGATGATGTTCATTTTGGGGTTGAGGAGAAGATGTTTGTGTATTGCAGAAAGTGGATCTAACTGTTCTGTCCCCGTCTCCACACACACACAAACACAGCCAGCCGAGGTTTAAGAAAGCACTTGGCACGCACACAGGTTGTTATCTAAAACTTGGCAGCAGTACAAGCACCGTCTGCCAAGAGCTTTACTTCAACAGATAAACATAAAATACATACGAATTGTAAATAGTCCAGCTCAAAACAATAACCCTTCGGCTGATTTAGACGTTGTTCAAGTGACTAGCCAGAGTTAGTTTTTGTTCGTCACAGAGTTTTAAACAGCCATCACACTCTCTTATATAGTCTCTGGGGTGTGGTCCAGTGACTCAGTTATAATCCCTGGCACGCCTCCTTAACTGCTGCAACCTTTTATCATGCCTTCATTGGCATGGATCCAGGAACGACGGCTCACCTCCCTCGCTCTCATCGGAGACACCTGGCTCCTGGCTAATCTCCTCTTCCTCGGCCGGCACCTGAGGTAGTGCCAGAGGGGAGGGGCCTGGAGAGGGAGGCCTGGCCGACTCCTCTCCCTCATGTTTGGAGCCTTCTTTCTCCGATGAGATAGGCTCGGAGGGCGGGGCCACAACACTAACAAAGAACACGAAAGGCATATCTTTTTTTCCCAGTCTTTTGCACATGATGAGAGAGAAACCCAGTCATCTCTTTGCCTAATTTCATTAGACCCCCCCACCCGATGCAGCCTCCTGCATTGCAATACTATCCAGGCCAAAGGATAGAAGCCTCCTAACCAGTTCAGAGCACACCCAAAATGGAGTCCAAACAAGGGAATTGCAACATACTGTAGAAAAACTCCAACCTTCCATCTTTAATCGAGGTCACGGCCCTGACTACCTCAACATTCCATCCCCTTCACGATGGGCTTCCCCAGCTCTGCTGCCTCTACTGAAAGGGCTGCTTTGCCTAACAAGAGAAATAACCCCCAGGTAGAGGGACAAGGACCCACCTAGCTTCCCCAAGACAGATTTCTTATTTTGGCTTTTTCTACTAAAGTTGGGATTCAACAAACGTTGAAAAAAATGGTTCTTCCTCCTCAGTGTTGTGCTTTTTCATGAGAGTTTTCCTTTCTTTGTCAACGTATGGTAAGCTTACACTGACTTTCCTGCCTCCGTCGGGCATCAGAAATGGCACTGCCAATTTTCAACAACCTGAGGGGCTATGGTGTGTAGCAAAAAGGGGAGGCATGTGCAGAGATATTGATTCTCCATGTCCAAACAAGTGGCTCATAACTCACCTGCTAATCAATACAAATCCCAGCATTGATAATGGTTTGTGTAATGTTATTAATGTGATTTCATTACTATAAGTTAGAATTAAATGTTAACGATCCTGCCGTTTTCAGAGACTATGAGCTGAAGAAAGGAGAAAACAACCATAGTCAAAGTAACCAAAATATCAACAGGGTTTCTAAATGACTTGAAATTACAATAGCATTGTTATAGACTGGTAGTTATGAGCTGGAGCACAAGCAACATACTCTATTCTTAGCTTTAATTGTTTTTTCTCAACATTTTAAGTCACATGGTCTCTAGAGTGAATCAGAAAACAATCAGAATTAATAATAGCTAAGTTTAATTTCAGCTGAAGGGTATGTGTGCTATGTGTGTTTTCCCCCATATACAATATGTAATTATTTTAATATTTTTGCTTTTAAAGTGTTAACTATCCAAAATTGCCTTGATTCAGGCAGACTCTACATTTAATGCAAAAAAGCATGAGATAGATGGAAGTCATAATAAATATGACTTCCATCTATCTCCTGCAAACTCATTTTGGAATCTGTCTATATGACTTTTCTGAAAAATGAGTTATGCTTAGAGACTGGCAAACCTATTGATGGTTTTTTAATGTGGCATCTACCCAAAAGGGCATCTCTGGATCGTCAGGCCTAACAAAATTTGATAGAAGAAGAAAAGGGACTGCAGCAAGAAGGAGGGGGAAAAAATCATAAGATACGAGTACAAAAGAACATCTGAAGAATAAAATGTCCAATCCCAGACTCAGATTTCTTAAGAATGAGGCTTAGATTTGCTTGGAAAAGAAGTAGTTTATTGGATAGCGTAGAAACAGCCCCCGAGGTAGCTACAAACTTTGGGTGTCGAGGTTGGAGGTACTTACAGAAGAAATGATCTTTGTGAATTGTGTGTGAATATGTTCTTTGGATTGTATATTCTGACAGATGTACAGCTCCATTAGGGAGATGTTTTTAATTATGCAGATTCTTTCTTTGATGTGTGGTTGTGTGCCACTTTAGGCACCATACCTGTGTACCAGTGGTGGGTTGCTCCTGGTTCTGTCCGGTTCTATAGAACTGGTAGTAAAACTGGCGGGAGGTTCCACCCACCACGACGTCATCATGGGTGATCTGCGCATGCACAGAAGCTTCTGCGTATGCACAGAAGTATGCATGCGTGCGCGAGTGAAGCGAGCACATTGCGAGCAGTCCCGTTGTGAACCGGTAGTAAAGGTACTCAAGGAAGTTAATATTCTAAACAATTTCTTCTGTTTGCCGTTATTTGCGTGATTTAATCAAATCCATCCCAACTGTCAGTTATAGGCTAAAAATGATTAAACAGTCCTTGCAACATTGCATTTGACTTTGCAACATTGTTTGCTCCAATTACTGGTAGTTTATGCTAGTGGTAGACAATGTATGAATAAACTTATTTAAAATTCAAACTTCTTCCAGCAATATCTTTCAAGAAAAAAAAAAGCTTAATTGTAACCAGAAACCCTGAAAAGAAAGGAATGAGTTCTCTTCAGGTAGACTGCT